AGGAAGAAGAAGAAGAAGAAGAAGAAGAAGAAGAAGAAGAAGAAGAAGAAGAAGAAGAAGAAGAAGAAGAAGAAGAAGAAGAAGAAGAAGAAGAACTGGCTGAAGCCAGGCACTGGGGTTTCATACCTGTAGTCCTAGCTACTTAAGAAGCTGAGATCTGAGAATTATGGTTCAAAGCCAGCCAGGAAAATGTGAGACTCTTAACCACTAAAAAGCCATAAGTGAAGCTCTAGCTCAAGTGGTAGAGTGCTAGCCTTGAGCATATAAAACTCAGGGACAGTGCCCAGGCCCTGAGTTCAAACCCCAGAACCAGCACATACACAAAAATAACTTTAATGGATATGTTTAAATGATTCCCTCTTATATAAGTAATGCATGCTAAGAAAAAATCTTTTAAGAAGAATAATTCTTAGCTGGATGCCAGTGGTTTATGCCTGTAATCCTAGTTTCTCAGAAGGCTGAGATCTGAGGATCATAGTTCGATGGGGCAGAAAAGTCCATGTTAGACTCTTTTCTCCAATTAACCACTCAAAAACAGGTAGAAGAGCTGTGGTTCAAAGTGATAGAGCTCTGGCTTTGAGCAAAAGTGCTCAGGGATGGTGCCCAGGTCCTGTGTTCAAACCTCATGACTGACATAATTCTTTAAGTTTAAAATAAGCCACTACTTCACACTAGTTTTTCAAATGTTTTTATATAGTAGTGTATTTTAATTATATAAAGAAACTTCATGTAATTGCTTAGCAAAACTAACTCACAGTCTAATAAAATGAATACCAGAAAGCTGGTATTTTAATACCAGAAAGCTGGTATTTTATATGGTCTAGGGTGATCAATCTGGGAAGGGGTAGCACATGAATGAAGAGAGGAAAGGCGGGTGAATACCATCATAATATTGAATGGATAGGAAAGTTGAGGAGAGGTAGGATTGGGAGGATGGGGATAACTGACAAAAGCAGTGACCCATTTGCACAACTATTTAAAAATAGGAAACATATAGTAAACATATAGTTAAAAAGAGAACTTTCCTTGTGGATTCTATACATGCATATAATGTATTTTTTGGATCCTGTTGGGCCTGAACTCTGGGCCTGGGCACTGTCCCTCGGCTCTTTAGCTCAAGGCTACCACTTGAGCCATAGCACCACTGCTGGCTTTTTTTTTTTTTTGCTTATGTGGTGCTGAGGAATCGAACCCAGGGCCTCATGCATGCAAGGCAAGCACTCTACCACTAAGCCACCTTCCAAGCCCTCTATGATTCTTTTTTAACCCTCTCCCAGCACATCCTCCCAGTTTTACAATTATTAAAATTGTAAAACCAATTAAGGGCTTAATTGTTCTATTTTCATACATTAGATATTTCCATCACTCTCTCCTTTCCTTTGCTCTCCCCTGTGTGTTTATGCTAAACACACTCCCTTTTACATTCATATCATATTGTTTAATGTATAGATTCTATATAGGGGAGAAAACGTGATATTTATTATTTTGGATCTGGCTTATTTCACTTAAGAGAACAATACCTTTTATTTTCCTGCAAATGACAAAATTTTATTCTTCTTTATTGATGAATAATGTGTATTTTATAACTTGGCTTTTATAAAAAGTGCTATGACTAACTTGAGTGTACAGGTTTTCTTACGGTTGGGTGGTCTTATGAGTGAAGATCCTAGATTCTTCGTTTTCTGAACAAGGAATTAAACCAAAGTACATTAAAAAAAATGGTACCAGGTACAGGTGGCTAAGATCTGAGGATCACAGTTCAAAGCCAGCCTGGGCAGGAAAGTCTGTGATATTCAGCTCCAATTCACCACCCAAAATCTGGAAGTGGAGCTGTGGCTCAAGCGATAGAGTGCTAGCCTTGAGTAAAAATACTCAGGGAAACTATCCAGTCCCTGAGTTCAAGCCCTAGAACTGGTGTGTGCACACACAAAGGTAATGTAAAGCAAAGAGTTTATTGGAAAGATTGAAAGTACACAATAAAGGGAAATATCTGGAGATGGATAACTCAAGAGCCAGCACTTTGTTACAAAGCTTTAGTGCTCTAGGATTCAGGGATTGTTGGAGTAGATTATCATATTAATAATAGTAGCCTGTCACTAGAGAAATGAGGGACAACTTTTTAGAAGGGATCAACAATATGCAAATTTTCCATCTCACAATTTTAAGTATTTGTATTAAGAGTTGACTCCACCTTATTCCCCCTGGTCAAGCAAGACATTTGGTGCCCACCAAGAGGCTTGACCACATGCCTGTCCACAGGCAGGTTATTCCAACCATGTAGGCCTGGCCAAAAGTCCCTATCACCCCTGGTGGGACATTCTACTCTAGACCTAACCAAAAGTACCCATCCCTAGCCCGGAAGTAATTACAGCCTGATTTTTACTCCTTCATTTCCTCGTTAAGACCCATATAAGCAGGATCCCCAAACCAATCCCTCACACAGCCTACAAACCTGCAGGAAGGTCTGTGCCACTGGCTAGTGACAGTCCTAGCCTGTTGACAATTGAGTCCGGTCTATTCCTTTTCCATTCTCTTCCATTTTCCTAACATGTATGAAATGCGACCCGGATGCATGAAGCCTTGGGTAAGGTTTTCTTTCTGAAAAGGTCAGGCAAAGGATACAACCATTCCCACTGTGCAATCACCTGTGTCTAGTTAGAACTGGTCCATAGTTTTTCTATTCCTAGAAAAAGTTCTAACTACGGATTGACTACTAATTACCTACAAGGAGTGACTGTGCAAGGGTAGTGAGGAGAAGATAAAATTTATGTGTGTTTCCCATGGCATGACCAAGAGACTTGGTTTCAGTTTTCTTTCCCAGTATCAGTATCTCTACTGTATGTTACTTTACATTCCATCAGGTTCCTGCCCAGAATGGTACAGCAGAGTGGTAGTTCTATTGTTAGTTTATTGAGGCAGCTGCATATTAATTTCCTTAGTTGCTATACTAATTTATATTCACAGCAACTGTATATATGGATTTCTTTCCCCTGAACCTTCAACCTTGGCTGTTGTTCGTTATCTTGATGATAGCTACTATGATTGGGGTGTATTGGAATTTTAATGAAGTTTTGAATTGCAGTTTCCTTTCTGGCTAAGGATGTTGAATATTTATTTTTATGTTTAATTGGCCATTTGAACTTCTTTTGAAGAGTATCTGTGAAAATTGATTTTTTATTAACTGGATTATTTGTCTCTTGGCAATTAATTTGAGCATTTTCTATATTCTGGATATTAATCCTACCACAAAGGAAGAGCTAGCAAAGATTTTCTCCAATCTGTAGGCAATCTTTCATTTGAGAAATTGTTCTCTCTGAGGTGTAGATGCTTTTTAACTTGAAACAATCCCACTTATTAATGCTTCTACATTGGAGTCATTTTTATACATAAACTCCTTATGTCTATTTGTATTGTCAGGTTACATGCTGCTTTAAATAAAGGAGATAACATGTAAATTTGTTGGTATATATGTATGTACAAAGAATAATGTTAATGACATGTATATTTGAGATTACTTGATATTGGATACAAATATCTATGAATACAGAATGAATGGATATTAAGATATGTATATACACATTCATAAATATGTATACATATGAGCAAGACAGATTACAGATTATGTCTCCATAAATGTATGACTATTGTATTTCTATGTAAATTTGTGTGCAACAAAATGTGAGGAATGTGAGAAAGATAGAATACAAATTGCAAAAAGAGAGCTGAAGAGTGCAACAGAGGAGCTGGTTGGATCCACTAGAAGAGGGCAGAAGAAGAGAAAGCTACTTATAGTTCCGAGGTTCTGAATATTGAAAAGAAAAGGAGGAGGCCAGGAAGGTTTCCAGGGCAGGAGGACAGTCAATTCCATATTTGGAAGAAAGGGGCGTCTTCAATATGGACGAGAAAATGAGATACAAATCCTATACAGAGAGAAGGAGGAGACAACAGCTGCAGCTGCAGCTGCAGTTGGTGGAAGCCCAAGGTGGCAGAGGATCCGCCTCCTCCAAGAGGAGGGTGGAGGGCTCAGGATACCCCCACCTCCTTTGACTGCCCTGCAACCCTCTAGACACTTATCCTAGCCTACGAATCCCCCCCCTTCTCAGATCCGGCAAGAACGCTTGGGGGCCAGTCTCCTACTGATCCTCCCTGCCAGAGGATCTTAGCTGGGGCAACTGGAGGTATCTAATTTACGCGAGTAAGGCCCCCTCATCCCCTCCCCCCTGGCGACAGTCGCCAGACAGGACAAGGCCATTGGTACACGTCAGAACGGAGAGGGGGGATGGGATGGAATCCTGTAATCCTGCAGGAGATAAGGGGGTGGTGGTGTGCTCTTGGCAAGAGCAGTGTCGGGAGTGCGGTGGGCAAAGAAAACCAGGAGCATTAGGAGCCACTAAAGAATTTGGAAATGAGCGTGGAGAAGCCAGGTGGGTGTGGGGGAAGTGGGTTGGGACAATGGGAGGGGGGGTGCTGTTGTTGAGTGGGGAGGGGCCTCTGTTCGGCCGGCTGGGTTGCTCAAGGCTGAGGTATGGGAAAAGGTAGTGGAGGGAAGGCGCTTAGACGAAGATCTTGAATGGGCGCCAAAGGTGGGGGAGGGGTGGGGGGCAGGGGACACTGAGCTAAGATAGCCAATTCTTTCCTGCAGAGTTTCTAATCCTGCTCTGCGGGACCGCAGCTCCAGCCCTGCCCCACAGCCTAAAAGAATCTGGGGGAAAAGCTAAGACTGAAGGCATATAGCTAGAATTTCTAACACAGCTGACTGGATAACAAGGAAAACGTAGGCACTGGCACAGTGTACACAATCACCATCGTGGAGAGAAGTCTTGTAGCACACACACTTGCTATTTGTCTCTAACCTCTTTGTCGTCCCTGCAGACATGAACACCCCTAATTCATACGAGGAGGACGTGCAACAAACCGAGGAAGCTGCAGGAGAGGCCACCGCATCTAACAATGGGATGAAGAAGAAAACTTCGCAGAAGAAGCAGAGGAGCAGACGTATTTCCCAGCCAACCAGGAACATCGTGGGTTGCCGTATTTCGCATGGATGGAAGGAGGGCAACGGTCCCATCACACAGTGGAAAGGAACAGTTCTTGACCAGGTGCCAATTAACCCCTCACTTTACCTCGTGAAATACGATGGAATTGATTGTGTGTATGGATTAGAACTTCACGAGGATGAAAGAGTGTTATCACTTACAATTATGTCGGAGAAGGTAGCATCATCTCAAGTTAGCGATGCTAATCTTGCAAATACCATCATTGGCAAAGCAGTGGAACACCTGTTTGAGGGTGAGCATGGTTCTAAGGATGAATGGCGGGGGATGGTACTAGCCCAAGCACCTATCATGAACGCTTGGTTTTACATCACCTATGAGAAAGATCCTGTCCTGTACATGTACCAGCTTCTAGATGATTACAAAGAAGGCGATCTCCGCATTATGCCAGAGGCCAGTGAGAGTGCTCTTACAGAGAGGGAGCTGGGAGTAGTGGTAGATGGGCTAATAGGAAAGCATGTGGAATACACCAAAGAAGATGGCTCCAAAAGGATTGGTATGGTCATTCATCAAGTGGAAGCCAAACCCTCTGTATACTTTATCAAATTTGATGATGATTTTCATATTTATGTCTATGATCTGGTGAAAAAGACTTAACTGTTAGGGTAAAATTGGTCACAACTGTGAAAATAAACAGTTTGTTAAAACATGCAACAAATGTTGTTCTTCAGTGTATTGAAGAAGTTAAAGGGTCCCTGATGACCAAACATTTTGGACAGTATAATGGTTGTTGTGTTCTGAAAAATACAAATGTATGTGGATGTGACACACTGTGTGTAAGCACTATGTTTTTGGTGGGTAGGGCAAGGAAGGAGCAGCTGTCAATTCAACCTGTGAATAAAGTGCTGCTAGTATGACCAGTCATCTAAAAATGGAATGAGACTTAACTGGTCTGGTCTTTAGGGAGGGGAAGGAACTAGAGATGGGCTGTGGGTTAAAGAGAGGAGATGACTGCTTAGGAAGAGGTGGAGAGGTGCCAGAACAGTGGGAGGCTTCCTGAAGGAGAATTAGGGGGGAAACATCCAGTAGGGAAGGGAAGGAAAGATGAAAACATAGCAGAGAGTGATATTGGAGCTTAGACTAACAGAAAAACAAACAAACAAAAACCAGACAAGATAGATTGAGACAAAGAAAACTTAGAAAATGTCCAGCATAGTCGAGGAAAGATAAAGTTGGTGGAGATCTGTGGAGAGGCTAAGGGATGGTTGATGCAAGGTTAGTGTGACCCACAAGGGAGGGACACAGTAAGGACAAATTCTGGGAAGACAAAAAAGACTGAATGAGTGAAATTATAGACTAAGAAGTGTGGAGAGCAGATCTCAGGAGGATTGGGAAGGCCCAGGGAAAAATCAAGACTCCTGACAATATTGTTGCTCTTTCTTATGTGCACAAAGGCAGTGTAAAGTGTCAAAGAAGGCAGGTGCATTGGAGCTTCCTTAGAAAGACATTTAAGCAGGGATATCTCCAGTAAATTCAGCAGGAGTCCATTTTTTACTTATAAGACTTCTTGTTTCAGGGAGTTTGTGTCATACTTGTTAAGCAGAACCTCAACTCTCAGCCTAAACATTAGGCTTCAGAAGCTCTAGGAAGAGATAATAACCTTTATCTGGTAAAAAATAGAACCTTGTTGAGCCCAGATACAGTAGTACCATCTCTGTTGTAGCCCTTGCTAAAGTGTTCCTTGCTTCACCAGAGAGGAAGCACATCAGAAGATTGAGCCCTAAGTATTCTCAAGGCAAGGGGAGACCTTGACTGCCCATTCTTCTGTTAACAGCTGCCTTAAACCACAATTGAACTCCAATCAGTGCTGCAACAAAGAACAGCTCTCTTTCCCCAGAATCCCCATTCTGCCTATATCCTCCACAAAGCCTATGGCTTTTGACACCTCACTGGTACCCTCTGGTTAGTATTGCCCTAAACTCACAGGAAAGTGTCATGGAAGTTTGCAGAGCTCTTTGTTTCCAGGTGATGGTAGATGTCATGAAGAGTAGAGGTGGGAGTTGTGATTTTGTGTTAGGTTATTCCTTTGGTTGTATATTGTCACATGGAGAGGTTTTGTGGTTGGGAGATGTAGTGTGAAACCTCAATAAAGTCTGAAAACTATGATGTCTAGCACATAGTCTGTGTCTTACTTTCTCTTTTTGCCTTCTATTTATCCAGTCCAAAGCTCCCTCTTAAAATGCATGCTCTGTTGGGTGCCGGTGGCTCACATCTGTAATCCTAGCTACTCTGGAGGCTGAGATCTGAGGATTGAGGTTCAAAGCCAGCCCGGGCAAGAAAGTCTGTTATTTCCAATAACCACCAGAAAACTGGAAGTGGTGCTGTAGCTCAAGTGGTAGAGTGCTAGCCTTGAGCTGAAGAGCTGTGGGACAGCACTCAGGCCCAGAATTCAAGCCCCACAACTGAAAAATGTATACCCTCAAAAATGCATGCTCTCATTTTTGTATACCCAATAACCTATACTTTTATCCTCAAACAGAGTCCTGGTGAATCCCTGATAGTTAGAATGCCTGGCCTACATGCTGGTTTTGGACAACAAGGTAATAGGGGGGAGGCATTAGGGAAACTCAACAAAGAAACATGAGAAATGTAGTTCATTCTTTCATCCTAACTGTGAACTTCAACCTAACAGTGAACCTGAGATTGTTCAACTCAAAAACTACACAAGGCAAGTCCAATTCACCATAGAGAAATTAATTTGTCATACACCTCCATCCAACACAAGCTTTCCATCTAGGGACCAATTTCAGTCCACTATCACATTTGCTTAATCTTTGGATTTTATTATTATTATTTTTTGTTGTTGTTGTTGGTCGTGGGACTTGAACTCTGGGCCTGGGCTCTGTCCCTCAGCTCTTCAGCTCAAGGCGAGCGCTCTACCACTTGAGCTACAGCGCCACTTCCGGTTTTCTGGTGGTTTATTGGAGATAGGAGTCTCACGGTCTCTCCTGCCCGGGCTGGCTTTGAACTGCGATCCTCAGATCTCAGCCTCCAGAGTAGCTAGGATTACAGGCGTGAGCCGCCAGCACTCGGCTGGATTTTATTATTTTCTAGTTAAAATTTGGTACTTTTTTTTTGTCGGTCATGGGGCTTGAACTCTGGGCCTGGGCACTTTCCCTGAGCTTTTCTGCTCAAGGCTGACATTGAATTACTTCGAGCCACAGCTCCACCTTCGATTTTTCTGGTGGTTAATTGGAGATAAGAGTCTCATGGACTATCCTTACGGGGCTGGCTTTTGAATCGCCCTCCTCAGATCTCAGCCTCCTGATTAGCCAGAATTACAGGCATGAGCCATTGGTGCCCAGCTAAATTTTGTACTTCAGACATTTGGGAAAGTTCACTTAATCTGAATACATGCCTGCCTTCTGTGGGAAAGCAATCAGAACGATAATAAAAACCAAATAATTGAGATCCACATTCCATCAAGGATAAAGGCAGCTGGGTCTGAGGTAGGATTCAGCCCATTTTAGGCTCAGAATCTTCTCTCTAGTTGCCCCTCCCCCAGCTGGCCTGCTTCACTGTAATAAAATGCACACTTGTCCCTTGGAGGCATGTGTCTGTAACTTCATGGATACACCCAGCAAATCCTTCCCATTTTAACTTTCCTTGTCCTGACTCTGTTCTTAGTTCATTTATTTCCTCTTTATCTCAAAGGTACTTTGGATGGGAGGGGGCTGCCAGGCATTGTTTAGACAAAGGTACTGATGGTGCTGATGACAAAGCAGGGAACAAATAAAGAATGACCTTACCCACACAGACACTTCATGTTAGGGACAAAGACTGTGGCCAAGCTAAGTAAATATACTTTTGTAGTGGCAAGCGCTAAGAAGGAAAAATAAAAGCAATGTATGGACTTGAAATTTCAGAGAGGTAGGTTTGCCAGGGGAGGCATCACTGAGCACTTGGCTTTTGAGTGAAATCCTGAAGGTCATAGTGAAGTGGTCCTGTAGCTCTCTGAGTGAAGGACCATTCCAGGTAGAGGGCAAAAAAATATTGAGGCCCCAAGGCCTGGTATATATGAGGAGAACAGGCAGGATGGCAGCATGGCTGGAGCTGAGTGAGCAAGGTAGGGAAGAAGAAGAGATTTCAGAGAGGTCATGGGGTGTGGGGAATCAACAAACTTAAGAGCCCTGTCAGTTAGCAGTCTGTGACATTTATTTTTAACTTATTTATTTTAACTTATTTAACTTACTTCTTTTTATTTATTTACATAATATTTGTTTTTACTAAGATCAGTATTAGAGTCAGGGCTTAAGTATGTTGAGAACTCTCCTCAACTAAACCCTAGCCACTTTGATTGTGGATTTTTCATTAAGAGGAAGCTATTCAGCTGTTTATAGCAGTGGAGTGATACTATGTTTTAACAGGATCACTCGCAGCTCTAGAGCATAGATTTTATGATACATAAAAATTCAGTAAGGATGATCATATATAACAGAAGAATAACAGACACAGAAACTAATCATAATAGAAGTAATATTTCAGATGAGTAATGATAAAATCTTTCACTTAGTAAATAGTAATAAATTAATTTTCCATATTTTAAAGATGAACTTAAAATTCTTCACTTTTTACACATGAAATACATTTCAAATATACCTATTATAGAAACATTATGAATCACATTAATTTGTATAAAAAATATATGTTTATAACCTTAAAAGCAAATTGTACAGATAGGTGCTGGTGACTCAGGAGGCAGATATCTAAGGATGGAGTTTTGAAGCCAGCCCAGGCAGCAAAGTCCATGTGACTCTTATCTCCAATTAACCACCAGAAAACTGCAAGTGGAACTGTGGCTCAAAAGTGGTACACCACTAGCCTGTAGCAAAACAAAACAAAACACAGACACAGACACACAGATACACAGACGCACGGACACACACACACACACACACACACACACACAAACAAGTCAGGGACAGAGTCTAGGCCCTGAGTCTAAGCCCCACCGCTAACAGAAAAAAAAATTGTACAGATTGCTTATTAACAATTTTTGTCAGCTACTAAGAGCATTACTTTGTTTAAAAAACATTTAACACTCAACCATGAGCTAGTGGCTCATACCTAGAGTCCTAGCTACTCAGGAGGCTGAGATCTGTGGATTGTGGTTCAAAGCTAGCCCAAACAGGAAATTTTATGAAACACTTATCTCCAATTCACTACCTAAAAGAGCTTTAAGTGGAGCTGTGATTGAATTGGTAAAGCACTATCCTTGACCACAAAGCTTAGGGACAGCACCTAGGCCCAAAGTACAAGCCCAAGGACTGATACAAAAAATGTTAATACCTATATTTTGTAAGAGACATTTATGAAAATTTTAGAATATTAGTTGGGAGAATGTTCATCTTCTTTGGAAATTTTAAATATATCTTTTAAATGCATAAAATGTTGATACTGCATGAAGTTTAAATACATTTCTTTATATTAAAATATATATTACTGTATTTCTAAAACCTATATACATAGTGGAAGAAAGTTAATAGTAGGCTACAAACTTGCATATTCCAAATGAAAAAATTAGATTTCAGCATATTCATGTGCTTATTCACAGAAGCAAACTTTGCCTTGCTGAACAAAATGAAAAAAAAATTATT